TTTGAATCTGTGTAACCTCTTTTTTTAATTTGTGTCACTTTTTTGAATTTGTCACCTTGTTTAGTAATTTTAACTTTTTTAAAAAAATTTTGTCACTTTTTATTTAGTGTATGTCACTTTTTTCCAATCGTCTTCTTAAAATTTCTATCACTTTTTTTTTAGGGATAAATATCACCTTTCAATAAAAGTGATATTGTATGTAATTTTTTAATAAAAAAGTGATACTAAGCTTTTAAAAGTGACCTCGTGCCACTTTTTTTTAAAAAATTGTTAAAAAAGGTGACACACTTTTTATAAAAAAGTCACTTTTTAATTTTACACAATATTTTTAATTTTCAAAAAATTTTCATATAATTTTTCAAAACATCCCTAATTTTTTGAGGTATTTTTGTAAGTAGCGCTTTTTTGTTTCCCCCAACCACAGAAATCAAAACCTTTAACCCAGTCCCAGAAAGAGTATGAAACCAAAGCAAGAAATCTGTCGACTCTCATTGTCAATCTCTCTTCAATGCAAAAGCCAAGAAATTTTAACTCATTTTTGCAGCTTCTTCTCTGTTGCACTCGGCAGTCGGAATCAGATACAGACACCTAAGGTCACTATTGCTTTATTTTAGGATTTGTTTTCTCTCATTTTTGTTCCTTAAGGTCAATATTGCTTTATTATATCTAGTATTCAAGAATCAAGATTTAAGATTTCTCGTCATATTTGATCTTGTCAGTAGAGTTCTACGATTTATGGCTGATATTAGGCTTTTTCATAGCTATTAACGGATTTAAAAAAAAAAATTATCCTACTGGTTATGCCTGTAAGCAATAGGCTGATAGAGGGAAGGAGGATTTTGTTGAGGCTTTTACAGATAGCCTTAAGGTCAATATTGCTTTATTATATCTAGTATTCAAGAATCAAGATTTAAGATTTCTCGTCATATTTGATCTTGTCAGTAGAGTTCTACGATTCATGGCTGATATTAGGCTTTTTCATAGCTATTAACGGATTTAAAAAAAAATTATCCTACTGGTTATGCCTGTAAGCAATAGGCTGATAGAGGGAAGGAGGATTTTGTTGAGGCTTTTACAGATAGATATTCAAGGTTTGATAATTGATTGATGAAAATCAGGTTACCGTATTTAAAAATTCATAGAAAATCTCACAAAGGGAAATTAATGTGGACTAAACTGCTGATGTCAAATTTTCTTACAAGTTCATGGGTTTTGGTGTCGTAAGAGGTATGAAAAAATACTAATAGTTCATATTTGTATTAATGAAAAAAGTCACATTTGTACGTTGTGCCCTCAGGCTAAATTCCCACCTACTTCCTACAATACATCTAAAGCTTTTGTGGCTCTAAATTATAATTAATTGAGGTAATGTTGTTGGAGGATTGATTCTAATAGTTGCAAGAAACTGCACTGCAATTCGATTTACTTAAATTTTAACGAAAATCTTATTTTATGGTCTCCTTAAAAAAGAAAAGAAAAAGAAGAATCTTTGGATTTCTATTTCGATTCGTTTCATGAGGACCTTGTGTGTCATCAATATGAAGTTTTCAATTTTTAGTATTCTTGTCAACATGTAGAATGGATTTTTGCCCAGCTTTTTTCTGGTTAAATTTGCCTCTCTTTTAGATTAATTTGCTCGTAATTTGGTTTCTTTTGTTGTCAACGTTGATAGCTTTTCCACCCTTTTTCCCATTACTTGATCATTTAACGGATTTTTGACTGATTCGATATTTGAAGCTTGTCAAACTGCTCAATTTGGAAATGAATTAATCAATATCCCCTTTCAATCGAGTTACTCGAATTTAAAAAAAAAAAGAAAAAAAGTTGTTGGATGAAATAAAAATAATTTTATTTCTAATGGTTAAAATAAAAGATTACTCGAATTTTACAAAAAAAAAAAAATAGAAAAGAAAGAAATAAAATTCGTTAGAGAGAGGAAGAAAAGCAGAGGGGTTGGGTTCACATTTCACAGTACATTCCTAATGGTTGCCCAGTGCCCAACATCAACAAAAAGCACTTCTTAACAATCAATGCATAATTTTTAAGAGATGCACCCTGTCTCAATAAAGTATGGATTCTGTCTAAAACAAATTAAGTGTGGCTTCGGGCAGGTGTGAGATTGCAATAATAAATGTTCATTTGGGCACACGATCAAGCTAAAGTGCCAATGGTAGTAGAATTATTTTACTTGTTAACAGAGTAGATAGAGGTTAAAAAATGTGTTGGGTTTTTGATACTCAATAATCTCAGGCGATGATGTTAAACAGTGTCGGATAGTCGGATTAGATTTCATAGGTTTCGGCCGATAATTGAAATATTTATTAATATACTTGATTAATTGGTTCAACCCGAAAAACAACTTGATGGTTGTTTGAAGCAACTTAATATAGTTAATGTTGCTCACGACCCATTTACGTCTTGGATGGCTCAATTTGTGCTCCGCCCCCTTTAACCATTAGTTGGTCCATAAGCCCACTATATTCTTACACCCTAAAACTATATATTGCCCTCATTTGTTGAATGAGCCGTGTGTGTGCAAGTGAAAAGAGGCAGTCGACATTTACTCTTGTTTTCTCTCTTGAGCCTTAAAATTGAATCTGTCTTTCTCTATTCTTGGTGATTCATTGCAGTCACCATATTGTGTTCTTTGTGAACACATTGAGTTGAGCAACCGAAGTAAGAATCGTTTTTTGGGTTGGAGCCATTGTTGGGTGTGTTTAATAAGGTTGAGATTGGTTCAACTGAGCCCGAAAAATCCACCATCGGAGGTCGATTATTCAACAAAATGTTTAATATTGATGTCAAATTTTCTTACAAGTTCATGTGTTCTGGTGTCGTAAGAGGTATGAAAAAATACTAATAGTTCATATTTGTATTAATGAAAAAATCACATTGGTATGTTGTGCCCTCAGGCTAAATTCCCACCTACTTCCTACAATACATCTAAAGCTTTTGTGGCTCTAAATTATAATTAATTGAGATAATGTTGTTGGAGGATTGATTCTAATAGTTGCAAGAAACTGCACTGCAATTCGATTTACTTATTTTATTTCTAATGGTTAAAATAAAAGATTACTCGAATTTGACAAAAAAAATAGAAAAGAAAGAAATAAAATTCATTAGAGAGAGGAAGAAAAGCAGAGGGTTGGGTTCACACTTCACAGTACATTCCCAATGGTAGCCCAGTGCCCAACATCAACAAAAAGCACTTGTTAACAATCAATGCATACCTTTTAAGAGATGCACCCTATCTCAATAAAGTATGGATTCTGTCTAAAACAAAGTGTGGCTTCGGGCAGGTGTGAAATTGCAGTAATAAATATTCATTTGGGCACACGATTAAGCTAAAGTGCCAATGGTAGTAGAATTATTTTACTTGTTAACAGAGTAGAGAGAGGTTAAAAAATGTGTTGGGTTTTTGATACCCAATAATTTCGGGTGATGATGTTAAACAGTGTCGGATAGTCGGATTAGATTTCATAGGCTTCGAGTGATAATTGAAATATTTATTAATATACTCGATTAATTGGTTCAACCCGAAAAACAACTTGATGGTCGTTTGAAGCAACTTAATATAGTTAATGTTGCTCACGACCCATTTACGTCTTGGATGACTCAATTTGTGCTCCGCCCCCTTTAACCATTAGTTGGTCCATAAGCCCACTATATTATTACACCCTAAAACTATATATTGCCCTCATTTGTTGAATAAGCCGTGTGTGTGTGCAAGTGAAAAGAGGCAGTCGACATTTACTCTTGTTTTCTCTCTTGAGCCTTAAAATTGAATCTGTCTTCCTCTATTCTTGGTGATTCATTGCAGTCATCATATTGTGTTCTTTGTGAACACATTGAGTTGAGCAACCGAAGCAAGAATCGTTGTTTGGGTTGGAGCCATTGTTGAGTGTGTTTAATAAGGTTGAGATTGGTTCAACTGAGCCCGAAAAATCCACCATCGGAGGTCGATTATTCAACAAAATGTTTAACATCAGATATCAAAATTAAATCGATAACAATATGGAAATATAGATTTTTTGGGGCGTAGCTTTGCAAACTTAAATTATGGATTTGAGTGGTCAAATACGATCACGATCAACCAAATCAGGGGCTGGCACTCCTCAGTCTACCAATGGCCATTGATATTGAGTCAAAACGTACAATGCACATCGTACATGTTTAAATATAAAAGATAAATTATGCAAGTGCTGTCTCCCTTTGATTATATAAGATAGTAATGGCAACGGGACGGGTTCGGGGCGCTCACGCCCCGCCTTAGACGGGGCGGGTTGGGTGAGGCGGGGACGGGGCAACTTTTTGCCCCGTTTATTTATTTATTATATATATATATTTTTTTTTTTATTTTTTTTTATTATTATTATTTTTTTTACATTTCAAATTCTCAAGTTATGTTATTATTAGAGAATAAAATTCAAATTTAAAATGAATTTTTAACGGTTGAATTGTCTATAAATAAAATTATTTTTAATTTTTTTCCTTCACGAGGTGGGACATCCTCACCCCTCCCCGCCCCGCCCCGCCCGTTCGGGGCGGGGCAGGTTTTATTGCCATCTCTCATATAAGAACATGTAACTCGGGTAGCGATACGTATTTAAGTATCAGATCTTTTATTTTCTGAAATGTGAGGTACCAGGACATGGTTAAAAAGAGTTCAAATTTCGGACAAGGATATGTGGGTACGTCTTTCAAACTTTAATTTTATTTTTTAAATTTTATGTTTTACTTTGATGTTGTCGTATTTTTTGAATCAAAAATGATGAATTGAAAAATAAAAATAAAAAAATGATTTAATTGTATAGTTTGAATATTTTATTAAATTAAAATATTCATATTAAAAATGGTCCAAACTCCAATTAAATCCATTCATATTCGTATTATTAAGTACATCCACATCCATATTTTAGCCCAATAAAAATTGTCCAAATTTCAATTAAATCCATCCATATTCATATTATTAAACCAATTCATATCCATATTATTAGCCCAATAAAAAAATGGCCCAAACTCCGGTTAAACCCAAATCTCCTTTCTTTCCTATTGTCGTCGTCTTCCTTCTTCACGACCTTAGGGTTCCGAGTAAAGACAGATAGCAGATTTCTTTTGGTCCAAGGATCGTCGGCACCAACTTGCTATTTCTTTATACACATCTTCCATCTCCAGCCAAACTGTTGCTAAGGTAAATCTTCAATTTTTCTAAGGATTTCTTGTCGGGTTTGATTGAAACTTCAAGAATCCGACCCGTATTTAGTACCGACACCCGTATCATGTCGACACGGGTACTTCGGTTGGAATGGAAAGTCCGAGCATCATATTCAGTAATTCTTCAATTCTTCTTTGTTAATGTTGTATCTCTCACATTTCACGTTTCTGTTCCTGTAGTGTTATTAATTGGGACAAACCTATAATACTTCCTTGATTTTTCTCCACGTTATGTGTTTCTGTTCTGCTAATTATTATCCTTATTGTAGCTGATTATTTCTTTTATTATTGATGGTGATTATTGAATGTGCATTTGCTATACTTTTGCTGCCTATACCTGCAAGACTTGTCTTGCTTATATTAATTGACTAAACATGGTATTCATGCTCTTCCATTGTTCACTTCTCAAATTGTTTTGAAAACAATATGTGTTTTCGAGCTGCAGAGTGTGAATCTTGTAGAAGGTGGGCGATCTTAACTGCCAAGGGTTGATTTAGATGGATGTGGGCACTACATTTTGAACAAGGTTTTGTTTGAATGCAAAATATAATAGGTTTCTCTCAACATAGGTGAATATAATTTTCCTACCATGATGAATGTCTGCACTATGTTTCAAGTCGAGATAATTTTTGCATATTATTTCTTTCGATCTTAACTGCCAAGGGTTGATTTAGATGGATGTGGGCCTACATTTTGAACCATGTTTTGTTTGAATGCAAAATATAATAGGTTTCTCTCAACATAGGTGAATATAATTTTCCTACCATGATGAATGTCTGCACTATGTTTCAAGTCGAGATAATTTTTGCATATTATTTCTTTTTTATACAATTAGAATGTCAAATAAGTTCAGGGATGAAAATTATTAATGCAGTCTATTATTACTAATTAACAGGGAACTGATCAGTAGCTATATGTGTTTGGGCTCCTGCAAGGTTCCAATGTACTAGTTTAAGTAGTGGAAAAAAATCAGGCTCCCGTGCAATATTCTAACTCGAAGGAAATTTTATTTGATCCAAATGCCTTTGCGTGGACCCCCACTTCCTAGGCTTCTTCTTAACAATGTTTCGTGCATGAGAAATGCCCAACAAATTCTTCGCCATGTTAATGTCTCCATACATGATGGGGGAGCACTTATTCTAACAGGTGCCAATGGCTCTGGCAAAACAACTTTATTGCGCATGTTGGCCGGCTTTTCCAAACCATCTGCTGGTGAGGTACTCTGGAACGGCCACGATATTACTGAATCAGGTGTTTTCCATCAGTATAAACTTCAGCTTAACTGGCTTTCCCTCAAAGATGCAGTCAAAACAGGGCACACAGTTCTTGACAATGTTCAGTGGTTTGAAGTTCTCGAAGGCAAGCAAGGAAGATCTCTGCCTGCCCTGGAGTTTATGGGCCTCGGGAGATTAGCAAAAGAGAAAGCAAGAATGCTCTCCATGGGCCAACGGAAAAGGTTACAACTTGCAAGACTATTAGCTATTGATAGGCCAATTTGGTTGCTTGATGAACCTTCTGTGGCATTGGATGATGAAGGGGTCAAGTTGCTTGAACACATCATTGCTGATCACAGGAAGAATGGTGGGATTGTCATTGTAGCCACACATTTGCCAATTAAGATTGAAGATGCTATGTTTTTAAGATTGCCACCAAGATTCCCAAGAAGGATGACTTTGGTAGACATGCTCGATCGAGGATGATTGGATTAATTTGAAATAAGCCAATGGAGGTCCCTGATTTTTATCTTTGTTCATCCAAAAGAAAAATATGTCCTATAAGTTTTCTAGTTTCACTGGTGAGGTTTAGGTTAGGCCCTGCTTTTTTTGGCGGGAATTGAAGCTCGAATTCGATAGCTCTGAGCTATTGTAAAATTTGTATTCTTTGCTGGATTTGCAATAAATTACGAATGGTGGGATTGTCATTGTAGCCACACATTTGCCAATTAAGATTGAAGATGCTATGTTTCTAAGATTGCCACCAAGGTTCCCAAGAAGGATGACTTTGGTAGACATGCTCGATCGAGGATGACTGGATTAATTTGAAATAAGCCAATGGGGGTCCCTGATTTTTATCTTTGTTCATCCAAGAGAAAAATATGTCCTATAAATGTTTTCTAGTTTCACTGGTGAGGTTTAGGTTAGGCCCTGCTTTTTTGGCGGGAATTGAAGCTCGAATTCGATAGCTCTGAGCTATTGTAAAATTTGTATTCTTTGCTGGATTTGCAATAAATTATAGCTTGCTGAAGTTCTTTTAATCCTGGAAAATTGAGCATTTTGGCGAATAAATTCATTACTTATTTGACATTTGATTTATATTTTCTTAGAGAATCTACTGTCTATCTTCAGTATAAAAGGCCCTGCTTTTTTGGCGGGAATTGAAGCTCGAATTCGATAGCTCTGAGCTATTGTAAAATTTGTATTCTTTGCTGGATTTGCAATAAATTATAGCTTGCTGAAGTTCTTTTAATCCTGGAAAATTGAGCATTTTGGCGAATAAATTCATTACTTATTTGACATTTGATTTATATTTTCTTAGAGAATCTACTGTCTATCTTCAGTATAACTATTCTACTAGCCTTCTTTGAGTTGCAGCCACACCATGCCCACCCCTCAATATCAACCCACGCAGGTAAATACTATGAAAGTAAAACCTCGATAATTGAATGTTCGATAAATTAATAATCTCGCTTAAATAATAAAATTATTCGATTCTCTAAAATAATAGTTTTTTCCAATCTCAACATTATTATTTTATAGATGTTTTACTATATACAGAACAACTCTTCTCTCGACCAGCCCATAGTTATCATAAATAAAATAATGAAATTGATATAATCATTGATATGTGTACAGTAGTTTAGTAGACACAAATAAACTATAATTTTATTCGGGGAAGGTATTAACTGGAAATGAATTTTTTTTGTTTAATTCAAATCAATAATTGATGATGCCCATTGACTGAATTATACATATTTCTTTCACTGATGTGACCTTTCTGCCTATTAAGTTTCTTTGAGTACAAGGTTGATTGTTAATTTAAGAAGAATATGTTACTTGTCGAATTATTATAGATGGATGGTTAGATGCTCAAATCGACATGTTTGGTAGACTTGATTTCGATGAATTGAACGATACAATCAACAAAATTAATTTTTTTTCCCTCTAACGATCCCATCTAACCATGAGACATTAGATTATAACAAAATTAATGTCATTTTTAAAAAAAAAATAATAATAAAAGCTTATTTTACTTCCTTTGTCCCATGAACATTTGTGGCCAAACTTTAAGACCATTAAATGTTCGAATGGAAGTGATTTTGTGAAAAATAATTTTACAAAGATATATAATTAAAAAGTAGAAAAATATTGTAATCAAAGTAAAAAAAATATTATTATTATTATTATTTAAAGAATGTATAGTTGAAATTTTAAAATTAGTACGGTTATGAGCACTTAAAAGCAGCAAAACCCTAAAAATTACAAAAAGCGTGCAGAAAACCCTGACTTCATATTATTGCTTAGCCCTATTTGATGCATATACTGATTAGATTTTTATTGGATTGTGAACTATGAAATTGCAAGCCCACGCATTCGGATTGCATTTTCATTTTGAATAAAGGTATTTAACATCACTAATATTACAATATCGTTTTATGACACTAACTAATATTAAATAAGAGGTGTAAGGTTCTCTTCAATGGAGACATCAAATTGCCAGAACGCACCAAAAAATGGTGCATAATGTCTCAAATGTAGCATCAAAATTTGCACCATTTTGCCTTTTGTTTTCATTTCCAAACAAATTGATTAAGAGAATTTGAGTTATTTATGTTATATATTTTTTTAATGCAATAAATTGTTGTTATTATTACTATAATTATTATTAGAGTAATAAGCACGTAACGTATTTACATTCCATTATTATTGTAAAAAACAATTTTTATATTTATTTTTTGGCATTTTCACCATTATTTTCATAGTTTATTGTGAAAAAGGTCATTTTCATCCAATTTTCTCAATTAAAACCTATGAAATGAAGAATATAGACTTCCTTTTAAATAAAATAGAAAGGAAAAGAAAAGAATTAATTGCAACTAAAATTCCATTTTTCAAAAAAGTGCAAACGAGTCCAAAATAAATTAGTATATGGGTAATTAGCACATAATGTCCCTACATTTCACTATTATTATGAAAAACGTACCCCATATTTCTTTTTTTAACATTTTCCCTTAATTACACGTTTGATTGTGCAAACCATCATTTCTATCTATTTTTATTCAATTTCTCAATAAAAAAAAGCTATGAAATGATGAATATATCATTTTATTAAATATATATAAATAAATAAAAATAAAGAATTAATTGCAACCATAATCACAATTGTTTTGAAAAAGGTGCAAACGAGTCCTAGATAAATTATTAAAAAATTAGAAATTAAAATTTATTTTTTTAAATAGAAGGCTATATTCATCATTTCATCATTTTTATTAAGAAATTGGATGAAAATTAATAGAAAATATGGTTTGCGCAATTAAAATATCACGGGTGAAGATGCAAAAAAAAAAAACAAAAAAAAAAAAAACAAACAAATAAAGTATGAACGTTTTTCACAATAATAGTAAAAAGTAGTGATACGCTAATTACCCTTCTAATAATTTATATGCAACTCGTTTGCACTTTTTAGAAAATTTATGACTATGAATGCAATTAGTCCTTTTTTATTTTTATTTTCTTTTATTTAAATAAAAGGGTATCATCATTTCACATATTTTAATTAAGAAAATGGATGAATGGACCTTTTGAGCAATAAAATGTGGAAATAAGAGTGAAAATGTGGAAAAAGTGAAAGTTAATGACGTTTTCCATAATAATATTGAGAGGTAAGAACGTTATGTTCTAATTGCCCATATTAATATTATTATCATCATCATCATTATTATTATTTGGATTTATAATAGTTTTTATAATGTAAAAATAATAGTTGAATTAATTAAAATAAGAATATCATAAAATATTTTTCAATTAAATATTTTTGTTAATTTAACTTAATTATTTATTTAGTAATTTATGTAGTTGTAAAATAAATAAAGAACAATAATTTTTCAAATAAAAAAATTGTTACGAATAAAAAAATGAAGAAAATGATTAAATACTGTTAATCTGATGTAAGATTTGGTTTAATGGTTAAAAATAAAAGCAAGGTTATCTTTTTGGGAAGGAGAAAGTAGGGATGACAATGGGCCAAACCGGCTCTTTAACCCATGAGTTTGGCTCGAGCTTGTGGCGAGCCGAGCTCGTGGTTCATGAAAGACAAGCTGAGCTCGAGCCCAACTAGTTGCTTGGGGGAGAGCTCGGCTCGGCCCGTGAGAGAGCTTGTGAGCTCACGAGCCACGAGCTCACAGGTGAAGCCAAGCCCACGAGCCGCCTTGCGAACACATGATTTTTTTAAAATTTATTTATTTATTTATTTTGGGTAAATATGCACTTTTTTTATTTTTACAAATTTGCGTATTTTTTTACGAGCCCACGAGCTCGGCTTGTGGGATTGAGTCCCCTAGCGTCGAGCCAACAAGCCGCTCGGCCCGTTTGACATCCCTAGGATAAAGTAAATAATTTACTTTTAAATGAATATATTGTATAGACTATGTTTGAGTCCCTTTTTTGGGAGAAATGGATTTTACAGTAATGATTTTTAAGAAAATATGTGATTAAAAAATATGAAACATTTTTGAATTTATATGTGAAATTATTTTATGAGAGAATGTGATTAAAATGAATTTTTAAATAATAAAACTTTGCATTACCAATTAACTCAAATAACATTATTCTTTCACTTTTGCTCTTTCCTTGGAGGCTCAATGTTACTGTAAAACATTATGATTAATGTAGGTAGTGTTCTAAAAAGAGTAATGTGTGATGAAGTGTAGACGCCAAGTTTCGGTGTAGACATAAAAAAATATATTTTTATTTTAATATTATTTTAAATAAATAGAAGTCGTTTTTTAGAACACTTTTTTTCAAGTGATCATACTCGAGGGTAATTCGGTCTTCACAGTACAATTAATTGATAAGTAAGGAGCCAACACATCAAAGTTTCTAAATAATTCATTAGTGGTCCCCATTTTCTCTGGTTCTACCCAAAAGGAATCGAATAAAGAATCAGTTCTTTTGTTAAAAAAATCTGCAGCAAGCCAACAAGGGCTAAGCCCGAGGGAGTTGAAATGAATGAAAAATCATGGCTTTGTACAGCTTTTACACAGCTAACTCTCTGCATTGCATTTTACGTTGTTCTTAATATAGGTCAGCCCCAGAACCATACTTATGGGAACAGCAAAAATGGAGGTAGAAAAATTGATATGTACTTCATTACTGTTGCTGGAGGATCTAGACCACTTGAACAACAAACCCTTTTACTTAAACAGGTGAGATTTGTAATCTCATTGATGGGTTCAAAATGGGGAATTTTCTTGTTTCTGCTATATATTGGGTGTGATTTTATGATTGTTTTCTTGTTCAAAATTTCTGGTTTTCTTTTGTGAATCTGTTGAGTTTTCCCTATTGATTGCTTTTGCAATTTCAAAAGGATTTTGTTAAGCTAAAAACGAACTTAATTGATAAATGAATACAATTTTCACGGATGTTGATAAGATTCTTGATTATTATGGTAACTATTGAATTTACTGCTGATACTTTACGAAAGTGTTTAATTATTATATTTTCAGTCGATTAAATTGCATTTTCTTGATGTCTATAGAATTTAGTCGGTATATTCAATCTATTTCAACTGCTCAAGATATATTTGATTTGGTTTTATTTGGTCTCTGGAATTTTTTTTTTTAGCATTAATCAAATTGTAATTGTTGGCTTGAAATCAATTTCTATAAATTTTCTTGAGACCCCTTTAACTGTAACTTAATGTTAATGAAGGTGGAGAAGGCGGTGACATCCTACAAGGCTCGGTTCATAGTCAACATTTGTGAACTTGGGGAATCCGATCCACTCCTGCAGAATGTAAGATCGGTATGCTGGTTTTAATTGGCAAATGGCATGTTACCGATTCACTTACATCGATTTTATTTAAGTTTTTTGAAGATTGTCGTGAGTGGACATTTTCATGAATTCATTTGACTAATTGAAATGTGTCTACGCTTCCTTGATTAGGTTTTAGTTAATTTTTCAGGCAAGTTTTATTCGAAAAGTTACAAGAGATATGAAAGTCCTTTATTTGCATACTCTAAATCTAAGAATTTAGGTGGGAATCGGTTTCCATTTTCTTCTTTTGCTGTTTGGGAAATGGTTTTTAACGGTTAAACAATTTATAATTTTTTGAAAACTCTGGATGTTGAATGATTTTACTAGCTTTACAGCTAAAATGTAAACCGATACTCAGTACTAAAACTGTTATTTTCCTTTTCTTCCTAGCTTGTTCTTCAAGCTTAAGAGCTCTTGCATTCCCCTATTGTGAACTAGAACTCATTGAAGAAAAGAAGTATTAATTTTTAGCTTAACTAAAGCTAGTTTTCATTGAATAACTGCTTTCATCAAACTAACACATCTTTCTTTAACAGGCTACGCAATACCTTGAGTTGCAGAAGATACCATGGTACTCTTCCCCTTTTGAATCATTTTAAGTTTCATTGTGTTGCATTCCACACTGGTAGTAGGTGCTGATTTTTGTTATAATTTAAAATCAAAATTTCCAATTTCTTTTCGTTTATCCCAATGTCTAGGTACACTACTAGATCATTGAAAGGAGAAGGAGCAAATTATTTCCACAAGAAGATCGAAATTCCTTATGGACAAACACTAGATATCATAGCTGTGGATACTGGGCTACTCCAGGTGTGAATTCCATTGTACGAATGTCTTCTTTATATTATATTTTCTGCAAAGAGACTTTTGATTCCTTCTTCCTTGTGGAAGTTATTCTTCTGAATTTGTTGATGTCAACTTTCATTTTTTAAGTCATTGACATGCATTCGCTTTTTAAATGTACTTATTATTTTATGCATCTTATTTCACTTGCTTATTTGAGAAAATCCCAATCCTGGGGAAAGTATAAGATCCCCTGATTTTTGGGAAGAAAAAAGGAGATACAACTTGACTAGGTATCCAAATAATCATGGCACTTTGTAACTACTTATATATGGTTGTAAGAAATAATTGTTGTTGTGCAGTTAAAGGCATGCTTTGTGAAGGGAACAAACAATACCTATATATATATATATATATATATATATATATATATATATATATATACAGATTTTAACATATAATGAGATATATTTAAAGATGCTAATAGGTAGATGGGGAGTGACAGGGATGCAAAGTCTGTAGAAATTGAAATCTATTATAAATTATAATATGTGAGAATTCATTTCTGAAATTAAGTTAGATAAACCAATTGTCTCTCGCCCTTGTCAAAGAAGGGATGTACTATTCAAGAAACTGATATAGATGTTCTTATATTCATTTTTATGGTATTATAGATTTCTTAAGACTGTGTTGACTCGATAATATTTAGGATTCTTCAAGTGTCACTGAAAATGAGCAGCTTCAGTGGTTAACGACAACCCTCAAAGAAAGCAGCAGTGACTGGTAAACCTTCCCACCTAGAGCTTCATGTTTCTTATTTATTAAGCACTTATTACCTTAATTATTTATTTCTTCTTTTCCTCTCAAACGATGTAGGAAAATTGTTTATGGATTCCACCAGTTGGTGACCTCTGAAGAGAATGTACAGAAAATAAAACCAATTTTTGAACAATTATATAGTTTATTTCTTAATTATGGAGTGGTAAGTGCAAGTTTTCATCCTCTTTAAGTTTTTATTTCCTCCCTAGCAAATCATTTCAGCTTATATTTTCCACATGTTCGTCTTGTAAATGAATGTTTCAGAAACCTACATTGTTCCATTCTCTTTTTCCCAACTCAGAAATTCTTAAAACTAAAAGTGAATACAATCACGTTATAAGATTCGCTCATGTCACCTTCACCTTGGCATTTTTCTCAAAAGAATGCATATTGGAGCTGGCGGGCCGATACTGGCAATGTTCAAGGAGGTACCATGCAGTTGCGTAATTCAGATCCAATGGATAAACGTCATTATCTTACTGCTGTTAATCAAAATTTAGTACACGACAAGTGAGTGCTAACATTCTTAAATTCATATCTCTAGGGATACATGAAGCTGATTTGGTGATATATATTTTTCTTCATTTTCTTTTTCAGGGAAAGGGTGAATGAATTCCTTCTTCATCGGGTTAGTCCACTGGAAATTGTGAGCGTCTCTACCCATCCCACTACTTAATCTTGTCTTCGAACAGATGTGCATGATTGAAGTTGTGTGTGTGTATATCATATTTGGCATGTTAAATATTATAGTATTCTAGTAACTCTTGGTACATTTTGGTGCATAAATTATATTCTATTTCCTCTAATTAATATGCAACCTATTGGATAAAGTTTAGACTTGCCAAAGCCATGATATGTGCAATTAAATGAGCACAAAAAGACTTATAGAAATACATGAATTAGGAGAGAAAATGAAATGAGATATGTTAAATATAAATCTTTGGTGCTAATAGGATCAAACGGACGTTTGTTTCCCTTGATACACGCTTCTTCTAAAATTAGTGCAGTACAATATTCATTTTATCAGCTGAATTGAAGTTTGACTGTATTCTTCTAGATTAGATAATGTCGAACACTAAAACTAGAAATATTTAAAATTATTTTGACAGAATTTTCAGTGAATAAATTTAGAAATGAATTGTTTTGGAATTGATTTGGAGTGAAGAAAAATATAATTAAAAGGATTTATTGATTATATTCATCTATTATAAATGGTTGTATCTTTTGGCACAAATTCATTTTGACCATTAGATCGTACCATTTTAGATTGGGGGATCATCTTGTGTCCAGATCATACCATATCCAAAGGTTACGACTCTTCATTATGTCCATATTGCACTTGAAGAGTAGCACAAATCATTGAACCTATTGGAGACTTATTCCAATTCACACATTTTAATTGTTACCCTTAAATTCCAACAGCAAAAACTAAATTGCTTTTCTTTGACAGGTCACTTATGTAGTTAAGTCGACAGGGGAGGTTGTGCAAAATTCAGTGCTTCAACAAATAGGCAAGGGGGTGATGTAATTTACAAAGAGACCTTGTTCTTAATTCCCAAATTTATATATTTTTTGATTCATTTATGTACCCATTGGCATTTTTTGGTTCTTGGATGAATGTATACTACACATGATTGAAATGGAACAAAGGAGTGATTCTTAGTGTAGATTTGAACACTTATCAAAGATTCTTTGAATTTCATTAGAAAAGGCAACATCTGAAGTTGAAAAACCAGAAACATACTCGGTTTCAAAGAGTCTCAACCTCCTAGACTTGAATGCACAAGGAATATACGTTTCTCTGGTTTATAATATAGTCTTGTAGACTCATTTATTTGAACATTTATAATTAATCTCCATCCAGGGGCGGCCCAGAGCGTTAGTATTGTGGGGTCAAAATTTTAAAAATATTTTTTTTAATAAACAACATAATATCAATGAAAATAAGTTAATATGTATTTTGACTCTTTGAAAACGTCGTATAACTAAATCGTTATTAATATTATTAAATAAATTTTGCTACTTGTATAGTTTTATTTATCATTTCACTGACAAATGCTGAGCTAACATTGAGTAAATTAATTTGAATATAGAAATTAAATGAATTGAAATAAAATTCAAGTTTAGTTCAGGAAGTAAATGAAATTTAAATTTAAAGCAAATAAAATTCGAAAGTAATTCAAATTGCATTTAATCCATAATGACCCTAAAAAATTTACGTCATATTTCATGTAAGACTTTCGAATGAAGTGATATAAATTATATTGAAATCATGCAAAAATGATAATTAATTGAAATTTTTAAAAGAAAAAACGAGTTATACGTCTTTTTTGAGACGTATGTTTGATACATATTTAACTATTTTCGATATTCGTTTGGACCATTCGATATGAAAACGATGTAATTTTCGAAACAAACTTTCACATGGCATAGACGATTTGTGGATTCAGATAACACATGAACGCAAACGAAATTTTAAAGTTACAATATTATCGAAATTTTCAAAATACTAGTTTCAAACGGCCTATTTTAACATGTCATAACTTTTACTATAGTTGACCACTTCGCATGCCATTAATGAGTGAAAAACTAGGCCATGAGCACTTCGAAATGATATTAAAAATACAATATTTTGACTTCATTTGACATCCCGATGAGTGCATCAAAGTAGATTGTAAAAAAAAATAATAAAATTTGTGGGGTCATTTGACCCCACGTGGGTCCGCCCCTGTCTCCATCTATCTTTTGCATTGGTGTTCACAGTTGAACAATATTGTGTTTCTTGCAAAATTAATGGAATTTCAGGATAGAATGAATGAGTTTAATGGTTGATGCTCAAGTTGTCATGATGAAGAAAATAAAATGTGTGGTCACGTAACGATTATATTTTTCATTTTCATTCTTACAAAAAAGGATACCAAAGGGGACCTTAATCTTGAAATGTAACATGTATTTTAGGGTTTTGCAGCAGCCTTTGAGCCTTGCAATTTTGTAAGGGAGAGACATTTCGCTGGTTGATAATATAGTCTTGTAGACTCATTTATTGAACACTTATAATGAATCTCCAACTATCTTTGCATTGGTGTTCACAGTTGAACAATATTGTTTTTCTTCCAAAATTAATGGAATTTGAGGATAGAATGAATGAGTTTAATGGTAGATGCTCAAGTTGTCATGATGAAGAAAATAAAAGAATAATACATACGTTGTAGAGATGTAGAAAACTAGTACAGAGACTAATCCAAGTCATGTACTAGAAGCCTATAAGCTCGATCTTGTTCAAATTGTCTTGACAAAAATGTTAAAAATCACTCGTTAATAATGTGAATACGAGAAATGAGTTCCCTCTTCTTCTTTTTTCTTTTCTTTTCTTCTTCTTCTTCTTCCATTTTTTTTTTAACCCGTTTTGGCCTTGTGGCCTCAATCGAGTCAATCCCATGTTTGTCGAAAAAGGAAGGTGGTTTATGATGTAATATGTACAAGTAACATCTACACTTAAGTGGAATTGTTGCAATCCTTCATCTCCAATTGTATATTATATAATAAGCTAACTTGATTCGATATGGTCATCCTTGATTTATCTTCAAGTTGAACTCCTTTCATCTATTCGTCTTATGTTCTTATTTTTCATTTTATTTATTTTGACGGTAATAATTTACAAATAAGAGTAGTAGAGTATTCTATAAGTTATGAACGTGTTTTTGAGTTTAATATTTGAATTGACTACCCTTGTTTGACCCCCATTAAAATTTATCAAATTAAATTAAATTTATCTCTTCTATTTTCAACTACATAATTTTCAATAAAATAATATTGCACAAAAATCGAAAACTTTTTATTTTTTACAATTATTCATTTTTCAAAAAAATATTATTTCTCTCATTATAATTAAAATTAATGGGGATAAACGGGGGCTAAATTTATAAATTAATTGAAAGTTTGAGTCCAAAACATATATTTTTTAAATATTTGTTAAACCTTTTTATAAACTCTTAAATCATGAACAATGTCTCCATTTGGTACTCTTCGCAGCATAGCAGTCGTTGATCTCACCATTCAAAATGTCCAAATTGCCCAGCTATAAAATTTACGTCTCTTGTTAAACAATAAGGTTTTCATTGCAAAAATCCCAACTGATGAAGGAGGCGAAACAGAGACATGGGAATTTCTAAGGGTGGTTACCCCTCTCTATTTGCCGGTGATTTCACCACTCCAAAAACCAACAGCCCGATTACGGTTACCTGTACACAGCTTTCTGTGTGTAAGTATATATATACTCGGTGAAAATTTGACTAATGGTCCCCGGAAGTTTACGCAAAACTTAAGCCCTTGTTTGTTTGAAAAACCTTGTTGGGATTGCTGCTGCTGCTCATGCTATGTGTAGGCTGTGAGGATTCTATTCTTTGAGTTGGGTCGGGCGGGGAGAAACGGACCCGTATCTTGGCGGGGCAAACCTTGATGGCATTGCGAGCAGGGGTGGGAGTGGGTTGGGTTGGGTTGGGTCGGTTTTCGCCCCAACCCTAATCCAACCCAACATGATCGGTTTGTTCGAAATTTAACCCAACCCAACCCGTGTAAAGTTTGAAACCCAACCCAATCAAGTATCGGTCGGGTTGGGTTGGGTTGGTCGGTTTATAACAACTTATTAATAAAGATTAAAGTTATTCATTTTTGGGTGTAAAGCATCACTAATATAGTCCCAGAGCCTCAAAATTTACAAAACTAATTACCACAGCATAAATATAATTCAACTGAGACATTAAAGAGCAGAAATCACAACCAATTTAGAAGTTGGTTTCTCACAAAATTCTCTAATAGTGGGACGGGATTGGAACTTATAAAGTAAAAAAATTTCATCAATACAACATGCTCCAAATCATTAAATAGTGTCAGCAAATAAGAAATAGCAGAGATGTAGTCAAAGAAGAGATCACCTGAGAGATGAGTCTGTTCAAATTAGTATATGTTGGCCTCTCAATGTCAAGTGACTTGCAACAAATATCATAGATCGCCTCATTGTCAAGAAGCACGGCAACATCAGTGTGCTCCAACAAAGAGTGGGTCGAGAGAACAGAGTTGTATGGCTCAACCACAGCAGTCGAAACTTGCGAGGATGGGTAAATAGTGAACCCCAACTTTGATTTCTTACCATTTAACAGAAAGCCTCTCAAGCAAAAAAGATTCAAGTCCAGATCCAATGCCCCCACCGACAGCATGGAACACCATGAACCCTTACAATCCAGTATAATTATTCGCAAGCTTTCGGAGCTTGAGTGAGAGCGAAGCGAGAGGGAGGGGGAGGGAGAGGGAGAGGGAATAGAGAGATTTTAGGGCTTCTTTTGAATTTGGGAGTGATCGAGTGATTAGCCATTTATGCATTTTTTTTTTTAAAAGTTCGGGTTGGGTTGGTTTTTATAGGTTAACCCACAACCCGACCCGACCCGACCCACCTACGTAGCCAAAAAATCGAACCCACTTAAAAACAACAAAAAAACAGACCCAACCTGGTCGGGTTGGGTTGGGTTGGGTTGGGTCAGGCGGTTTGGACGGGTTGGGTCGATTTTTGCCCACCCTTAATTGCGAGGAGGGAAATTGACGACGTTCTTTCTCTCTTGCATATGCAACCGGGCTTTTGCAGCCATGGCGGAATCTGGCTCTATTTGCGTGTTGTATTTGTAGATCTGAGCCTCACACTGGTTTATTTATTTCTGATGTTCACGAAAATCGTCTCACCCGATCTCGAACTTCAATGGCCCGATCTTGGCCTCTAGCAGCCATTCCACCATTAAGGTCGGGCCTCCACGTTGAGGTTGGGCATCCACGTTTACGTCGAGTAATATGTCCTTTAATGTAATCTCTCTCCCACCTGGAAGACGTTAATCCTACTTCGATTATAATTGCCCATGACTCTTATCCACATTATTTACCTATCATGGTTCAATTCAAACAAATACATTACATGATAAAGGTAAGCGATATAGATGATTGGATCCTTTTAGAACTTCATCACCAACATCTATAAATACATTACTAAAATTCATTATTGTGATACGTTTATCATTATTTTCAGTTTATAGTCTAACACTAAATTCTTTTTTTGACTTAAGCATTGGAGAGACGATGATGACACACTTCAATGCTTTGTTTCAAATATCGGAAGATCTTGTTCGTGCTCAGTTTTAGTCATCGAGTTCGAAAATCAACATGTACGATTTTTAGTAGCATTATTGGCGCCGTCTTTGAGAAACATTATCAAAAGTCATGATTAATATACGTTCATGACATCTTCCAATAAATTCATTCATCCCTAATCAGCCACTGTCGGAGATCCTCCAGTTCCGCATAAGGAGTCATCCGGAGAGCCAACACCTCCACCAATAGTTATTGCTCTTGGGGCATTTAAGGAACTTTGCCAACAAGTTGTCATGCTAACACCACCGCAACAAAGTGGTCTTATGGCATATGCTTGAGCCCGAACCTCACTTCCAGGTAATGGTGATGAAGGAACTTCGAGCTTACCTCGTATGGCCTTGCGCTTGAGATCAATTACGATAGATTCTGCTGAATCTTCCAAGATCATTAAAAAAGGAATCGCGATGGGTATGCTCCAGAATACTCAAGCAACAACAGGGTTCATCCCTAACATACCTTTCACTCCTGAAGTCTTATCATCCCCCTTGTCGGATATATTCAAGTGTCGCCGGATAAAGGAGTACAATGAGACAATTGACCTCATTAATC